AATTCCATCAATTAGCCCATTTATCCTTCTTTCTATTCCAATTGCTTCGAAATAGGTTCAAAATTGAAATCAAATAAAAATAACCTAAGTTAAGTAAAATGCAATAATAAAATGACACAAAAGCTTAGTACTATGGTCCCGAATAAGTGCACAAAAATGCACTTATCAATGCATCTTTAATTATTTTCGATATCTGTTTGAACTATTCAATATGTCTATAATGTAATCCTCGAAATGAGTTTTGAGATGACATAAGTCCTTGAAAGTTTGATTAATCACTGAACTTAGCACTTTGTCATGTCGTGGTCACTCAACTTCACTTTGCTTCTCCACAGTCACTGAACTTACAGAGGATCCCCTCCATCCATCACCCACCATCTCCACCGTGTGAAACCGTCTTACGTGGCTTGACGGCCGCCGACGTGGCACTCTACGACGTGAATAACGGCTGTTGTAGGACGCGACTTTATGCTGAAAAACACGACATATCTCCATGAAATCGAAACCCCTAACCATTATTTTCCCCAATTCGAACCCAAAGCCCTGGACGCGATTTTCTTCCACCGTCCCCCAATTCGATTCCTCCCCAAGTCGATTTCTCCCCAATTCAAACACCCTCACCCGGTTCAATTTCTCCCCCAGTGTACCCGTGAGGCTGGAGTTGCATGCATGGAAGGAGCAGACAGAGGTAAATTCCTTGAACATGGCAATTATTATAATATGAATTCAGATACATGACCTTTTGAAGTAATTCATCAACCTGGTTTCGCTTATCTTCTCCTCCCTCGCTTCTACTGGAATCTTCAAAGTCTCCATTAATAAAGCTCGTACGAAGATTACCACAAGGACGAGTTCTTAAGCCAGAACCATATTTACCACATTTCTGTTCATCAATGGATGCTCTGTATATTTGTATGTCATGAAAACTGCACGCATAAGGGAGATTATGAATGTATGAAAATGTGGGTGTTGAATGACTGAATCTGTTGTTGGGTTCATGGTGTTATTGGCATTTGTGATGTTATTGGCGTTCATGAACTTATGTTTGTTGAGTCAATGATATAGAACATATTATTTTTTATAAGCCATGGTAAATAATTCCATTGTTTTCATTTTGTTGATAGATTACGAGGAAGACCCTGATTTCGTTCATTCCGAGGTTGACATGTCTTCTGAGGAAGATGATTTGTTGTACGATCGCAATGGAGTAAAAACTTTCATTAGTCACTGAACTTGGAACTCTATCATGTTGTGGTCACTCAACTTCAGTTTGCTGCCCATCGGTCATTGATCTTGCCAACCGTTCACTCCTTCACTCACCACCAGTTTCTCGTTTCTTACCTGGCTGGACGACGTCCTACTTGGCAAGAGACGGCATCAATTCCTTGCCACGTTAGAACGCCTTCAATCCAAAACCGCCATTCTCGCCTTCAACCCGTTCAATTTGAGGGAGGAATCCCCAATTCGAAGAACCCTAAACTAAATCCCTCATTCCAATCCAACCCAAATCCCGTCGAGTAAGACCCCGAATTTGGTTTTGCCCTAACTGCCTCCCTTCCAACTCCAAACACGCGACGTTGAATGACCCCAAAATCATCCCTCCAAACCGAACTACCTTCGTCGAACCTGTTCAGCCAAAATCAGGTGAATTTGTGGGGGAGGGTGCAAACTGATACTTTCTAATTGAATTGTTATTTGTCATTTTCTAATTACATTCTTCACCTGTTCTATATTGCTTGAGAATCTGAGATATGGAAGGGAAGCACCTTGGCGTTTTGTCACTGTTTCAGGGAAATTTGTGGCATTTTATCTGGATTTCTTCAACTGTTGGAAGATTATTATCGGAATGGGGGATTAGACTTCTTGTGTTCTTCTTTGAGAGGAATTTTTGATTGGTTTTAGTTTGCAGTTTAACTATTAATCTGCTTTGATTTCTGCAAGAGAAATGCAGTGCAGAAATGTATATGGTTGACTTTGGTTTTGATTGCTTGGCAATGCATTTTCGATAAGAAGGTTGTGAGACTGATGGATGGGAAAGTTTTGCCTCATGTGACTAAGATTTCGATGTGCCTATTGGTTGGGACATTGATTTGGTTGGTCAAGACCATGCTTGTGAAGAGGAGGAGAAGGTGAGAGCTGAGGTTTAGAAGCTTCAGAGTGCTGGGAAATGTGTTTTCCAAAAGTGGGAAAGTGTTAGGGACATCCCCGAAGAGTCCCATGGCTACAGGTGCAAAAGTCGGACGTCGGTGAACATGTAGTAAATTATGTATGTTGTAAGACTTCAAGACATTATGTAATCGTTTTTCATTGCATTATGAACTGGTTATGTAGTTTGCTATGTTAATAATAATGTCAAATCATCTGAACCCCCAAGCTTCACAGTATGTTAAACTTAATTGTGCAGAAATTGTCGCTTGCAGTTAGAAATATTTATACTGTTGTAGCATTTTGTGCTGGTAACAAGGTAATGGAGCTGACACCGTGTAGAATGAATGTCTGCAGCCGACCATTTTAGGGGCCTTAAGCCAGATCTGATTTGTACATTTTCAAAAGTCTGTAACACTTCATTGAAAAATTTGAAAATTCTTGATAATGATGAAGCAAAGTATAAACTAACAGAATAAGATACTAAAAGGGGAATAATAACAAAATGAAGCAACATCTTTTTGACAATCATAGATACAAATAAATTTATTCCTTCAAAAGATCAATTCATACAAAAATATCTGCCATAATGTCTGCCTTACAAAATGTGACGGTTACATCACAAAATATACCATGACGTCCAATTCCCTATTCAGAGCAAACAAAAACCATCAAAAACAACCACAACATTCCCTTCAATCACGTTTTGTCTGTCTAGATACCCCAAGTCATTATCTTCCACTTTCCCTACAAGCATCACACTCATTCATTTCTCGCTTCATTCATGTCCAATCCATCTCTTGTGCCCATTCAGTAGCAGATGAACCTGAGACAAGTTGTTGTTAAACATAGAACCAACAAAAACATCATATTATAAAATGAAACAGAGGATGGAATTTTGATTTCAAATTTCCCAACCTAGTAAATAGATAATGTATCAAGTACCATATATCAATTACAGTCAGCTTAGATAGTGAATAAAATGTGTGGGATTACAAACAGGTGAACTAAATAGCAAAACAGATATCACCAATAGGAGAATCATCAAACAAATGAAGAACATATTAAGGTCAAAAACTATTACACATCCAGACAAAGCATACACTTGATCATTCAGCAAGATGTAAAAATTATTCTAGCATCTCAATGTGTGCTCTTAAATGAAAATGAAAGAGATTAAACATTGTAAAGAGAACCAGCAAGAAGACA